GAACCCAGGACCTCACCCATGCTAGGCAAGCATGTCTACCACTGAGCTACCCACAACTCCACAATTTTATTATTTTTGTAATTTCTAATCATATTAAAGATCAGCCGGGGAAGCAGTTCTTTTTCTGTAGCAAAGAAGATAAGAAGTAACTTTCATAGCTTCTCTCTGCCTAATTACATTTATGTTCAGCCATTTAAAAAAAGATGATAAACTATTTTTTAAAGATTAACATGTGTGCATGGGCTGCAATTTACATGGAATCAAAGTTTTTCAGGGAACACCAGGCCCCCATCCTCTCCTGCTTACCTAATTCCCCCCCTAAAAGACCTCTGTCATATCAGCTTCTAATACACCCTTCCAAACACACTGTACATGACTTTGTTTTTTCTTCTCAATACTGGGGATTGAACCCAGGACCTTGCACATGCCAGGGAAGTGCTCTACCACTGAGTCAAATCCCCAGCCTTTCTTTTTTAATTTTGAGATAGTAACCCTTCTAACCCTCCTGCCTCAGCCTTCCAACCTGCTGCGATTATAGGTATGCACCACAGTGCCATGCTTGCACATGACCTTTAAAAAGATGATAAACTATTTTTTAAAGATTAACATGTGCCCATGGACTGCAATTTACATGGAATCATGTAAATTGTAGCTAAAATACCAGGACACTATTTTGTTCCTTGTATTTTTCACCTAATGACAACTTGGAGTTTGGCCCACATTAGGAGATAGTAGGTCTGCCTGCTTTTTAATTATCACACAATATTATATGGATACACCATAATTTATTAAAGCAGTCCACTAAAGCTTATTTCCAATATTGTGTGGTTGAAACACTTAATCTGGAGCCCAAGATGGCCCTCGAAACACTGGAAGTTGGACCTCAAATTGTCCACATGTGAAATAATGGAAAAATGAAAGATTTATAGGCTACATCAGATTCTTAAAGATCTGTGACCTCAATAGGGGTAAAGACGCTTGCTGCCAAAATTTTACATTCGAACACCCCTGCTTCTACAGAAATGACACAGAGCATTAAAAGAAGACTCTCCTACCAAATCTAAGGAGGCCACGGGCAGTTTCTCTACCTTTATTTGCCATGTTTTCTGTCCTCCTTTCAGTCCCTCACACCAACATCAATTATTCTGCATCTGCTACCAAACAAGCAGGCCCCTTTACACCTATCTCTCTCTGCATGTTCTTCATTACCAGGTTGAGAAAAACACTGATGATAAAGTAGTTTTCCACCCATTACCTGTCTCTAATAATGTGCTTGCCGACGTCGTAATTAGTTTCACTTCGGCTGGATTTTCTGTCATTTCTTTCCCTTGAGTTCTGTTAATAGCAGAAATTGGCTGCTAAACTATTATTCTGGTCTGCGCAATGGGGCTGACAGCAGAAGCATTCTTTTTTTTTTTTTTTAAGCAACTGGGTGTGATTTGTAAAGGTGTGAAGTGGAATTGCTAATGCTTCTGAGCTCCATGACATTAACCTGGAAGGCATTCTATCCAAGAAATGAATCCAATATTAAATTGCCTGTTTTATGAGTTTTCCTTTAATAATTTTTCTAATCTTTACAACGTTTTCATAGCTTCAGTATTTTCTGATCTCTATTTCCTGAGATTAATATGGCAACTTCATTTTTGGGAACACTATTTTATTAGATTTTCTTTATTTTTGAGGGAAGACAAAGAGAAAGAAAGATGTATTTGTGAGTCTCCTTGCACCTGTGTTCCTCTCCTGGGCCTGGCAGATGCCTGGACGATCAGGCCAGGTTTCACAAAGAGATCATCAACCTTTTTTTGAAATGAGGATGCTACTGAAATACCATCAACAAGCCACAAAGCCCCCTATCAATCCCAGCCTGGAGACTGGAAAAGCCCTTGGAGGAGAGCAGGCAGGAAAGCACGAGAGGCCAGTGAGCTCTCTCGAAAAACCCCTCGGTGGCCAGAGTACAGAGGGTAACAGGTTGAGTTCACTCCACTCAGGAGGCCGCGGCAGCCTGGGCAACTTGGAGAAACCCTACCTCAAAATTTTAGAAAAATTAAAAAGAGAAAGGCCTGGGATGTAGCTCATGCTCGGAGCACTTGCCCGCCCTGTGCACGCAGACAAAATGAGGAGAGAGAGAAACTGAGAGACAGACTTGGGAGCCATTCAGAAGGCAAAACCAGCAGGTGAGGGTAACGGATTGGACAGACAGGAAGGCAGAGAAGTAACAGCAATAAACACCACCCGATGCCCACTTGCCATGTTTCAGACCCTGTGATGGGGCTCTCCTGCAAAACCACACTTGATTCTTGCAAGACACTCCACGAGGAGCATCAGTATCCAGTCTTCTAAATGAGGAAACTGAGGTACTGCGGGGTTAAACAACCGCCAAAGGTCACGTGGCAATCATGGCCGAGCCTGGTAGACGCCAAATCCAAACCGAGCCAGTGTGTGACACAGTGAGAAGCCTCCAGAAGCATCTCAAGGTTTCTCAGGGGAAGGCTGGATGTGTGTTGGTCCCAAAGCGAGGTGCCCAACACAGGAGGAGGAGGTCAGATAGAAGATGAGTGTCCAGTTTAGTCTAACTTCATAGTCGACAGCCGTGGTTAAAGGTGGGACAAGTAAATTACACATTTTGCTAAAAGACTGCCCTAATAATTAAATGCTGTGTAACGAAGCGGCAGAAATCAAGAAACAAAAGGCTGGGTATGAGGCTGTATTCATGTTGAATATACCGTTGATCTTCCTATTCAAATATGACTATAATTATTTGCTTGATGATATAGGATAAATTCTCAGCAGTTAGTAACCAAGCTGGCATTCCCATAGCATCTAACAGACTCTAAAAAGGGTGTTCTTTCTTTTGTACTGTTTCCGTGCCTTAATAACTTCCTGCTGTTGGGTTTATCCATTGCCACCTGTCTCTGAGGCTTGTGAACACCAGAAAGATTTAAGGAAGAAAATGATATTAACAAAGACTTCAAAAGATTTTTTTTTTTGTTCTAGGGATTGAACCCAGGGGCACTTAACCACCTAGCCACATCCCCAGCCCTTTTTAACATTTTTATTTACAGAGAGGGTCTCACTGGGTTGCTTAGGGCCTTGCTAAGTCGCTGAGGCTGGTTTTGAACTCGCAATCCTCCTGCCTCAGCCTCCTGAGCCGCTGGAATTACAGGTGTGCACCACTGTGCCTGGCAAAAAGTTTTAAAAATGTGGCCTGGCTTAAGGAATCATGAAGATGTGGGACAATAAACACAATATCCTAAAAAATAAACAAGACTTAGTATAAAAAGACTAAGTTTGAATCTTGGCTTGGAAAATTGTTAGCTTTATGGCATTAAGCAAGTATCCATTGATCTCTCTCAGCCTTGTTTCCTTTGTCTGCAAACTGACAAAGGAAATGATTTCTCACACAGGGATATTGTATGAAATTAAATAGTTTCTGAGTTGTTAGGCATTAAATGAAATATGTCTGAGTATGCGGCAGAGTGTTAAGAACATTGCAGAAGCTCAATATATTCTAATGTTTTTCTTTCTATCCTTTGTGGACAAAAGGTATGTCTTTTCAGTTTATAAGTCATAGCCAGTTACAATGTTCTGTGCATGATAAATATTTAATAAATATGTGCTTACTATCATTAACTACTCTGTGCTCTCCAGAGTTTAGTTTTGAAATCATAGAGTTTGTATAATTTTAAAGTTGGTTAAATATCTATATAATATATATATATGTGTGTATTTTTTTAGTTGTAGTTAGGACACAATACCTTTATTTTATTCACTTATTTTTATGTGGTGCTGAGGATCAAACCCAGTGCCTTGCTCATGCTAGGTGAGTGCTCTATCACTGGGCCACAACTCCAGCCCAAAGCTGGTTAAACATTTATAAGATGACAGCTTAATTTTTGAAAATACTATTACATTATGTTCACCAATTCTACCCAGATACGTAAACAGTAGTAAAAGTAGTAAAAAAATTGTCAATGACAAGCAGATCAGCTTAGTTTGACAAATCAAAGATAAGCTTTACCATTGCACCTACCCCCTGAACAGTGTGCACGAAAAAAACACTCTCTGCCTCGTGGGAAATTTAATTGTCCCAATCTTGGCAGCAAACTTAGAACTGTTGTATTTTATTTACACAAATTTTCATTCCCAAAGGAGGATGTTCTGAGCAGACTGCAGAAAAAAAAGATCTTTTTTTTTTTTTTTTTAAAACATTTATTTATTTATTTATTTTAGTTTTCGGCGGACACAACATCTTTGTTTGTATGTGGTGCTGAGGATCGAACCCGGGCTGCACGCATGCCAGGCGAGCGCGCTACCGCTTGAGCCACATCCCCAGCCCCGAAAAAAAAGATCTTTGCAACATGTGCCGGGTCTTCCTTGCTCCTTGCTCCTGCCACCCCCACCTGGTTGGCTCCTCTCCTGGCTCTCCCAGCTGGGCCCCTCTGGGGCACTGCGTGATCTCCTGTCTATGAGAAGCTCCTGCTGCAACCCACCTTGTGCAATGTTCTCCAACTTTCCAACATCCTGGACCCTTTTAATGTGAAGCCTGAATTCTCCACCTGCCAGAGCAAGGCAAGCCAGCCCCACAGCCTGGTTGAACCTTAACCCCTGGGTGCTTCCTTCTGGTCCAGAGTGATAATGGATGCCGTGTCTCCCTCTTCCCTTCCTTCTCTGCCTCCAACCTCCACCTCACTCCAAGTTTCTTTTAACTTTTTTTATAGTTGTAGATGAACAGAGTTGCTTTTATGATATTTATTTTTATGGGGTGCTAAGGATGGAACCCAGTGTCTCACACATGCTAGGCAAGCGCTCTGCCACCGAGCTACGGCCCCAGACCCAAGTTTTTTAATTTCTCTGTTCATTCCCATCTCTACACAATCATTTGCACACCTCAAGCACTAACTTCCATATTGCTACAAAACAATGTGATACTGAAGCAAGTGATACTGAAGGTGCCCCCCACCATGAGTCTAGGTTCCCCCAGACTTCTGAGTTTTACTCACCTAGAAGCAGCTCTGAACTGAGGGATTCTTCAGCCGGGCTCCCAGGGGAGGTGGGCAAAACATCATCATCAAAGCTGATGAGGTCAATGTCCCCCAGGGACTTGCTTTGCAGAGCTGGAACTGGGGGGTTGGCCGCGGGCCCTTCTCCCAGTGACCTGAATGCTTTGGCTTGTGATGCCACTGAAAGCCGGGGAGGAACAGGGGCTGGTTTCGGTGGAGCCAAAGGGCAGCTGGGGTTTTCTGAGGAAACCGATTTCTTCGGGGGCAAGGGCCGAGGGGCAGGAGTGGGGACTTTCTTCCCAGCATCAGGGCTGTCGGCCACGGGCCCTCCTCCCGGAATCTCGTGGTTAGCACTTCGGGTAAGGCCAGGAGTTGGTTTCTTTGGCAATTCGGGTTTGGTTACTGGCACACTGCCTGGTTCTGGTGGTGAAGAGAACGGGGTGAGCCCTTCCCTGGAGGTCACCTTGAGTCTGTTTTCAGCCCAAGCGTCCCATTCTCCAGAAGCTCTGTTAGCCGCTGGTTTGGGAGCCACAGAAGGTTTCCCTGAGGAAACAGCAGGCTTTGGGGGCAGTGTGCGGGGGATGATCTCTGGTTTCTTGGGCAGTCCCGGGGTTTCTGCGTTTGTCTGACCCTCAAATGCTTTGATCCTTGAAACAATGCTATTTTGGCTTTGCTCTGCGTTCATCGTGTCCATCCTTGGCAGACTTTCTAAGTCGCTGGTATTGTCCAACAGACACTGGGGCCAGCCTGGGGATGGCTCCTCTTCTGGGACTGCTGGGCTGATTTTCTGGGCAGTTTTAGCTACTGGTCTGAGGTTGCTTTTCGATCTTGGTTTTGGCACTGGACATCTTGGAGCACTGGGGTTTTCTGGACAACTTGCTTCTTCAGAAACATCAAAGACTATTAAAGGAGCCACACTGGTGGGGACATTGCCGGGTGAGGCTGCTGGAGAAGGCTGAAGAGGCTTGAGAGGCTCCGGCAGTGCTGACAAGACCAAAACAAAGTGGCAAGTGTTATAATTTAAAAGAACAAAATGACAAGGGACACACAGATTTTGAAAATATACTTATGGACTATCAAGAGAATTTGGTTTCCTTCATGAGCAAAAGTGACTGCAAAATCAATGGGGAGATAGATGGATGTTTATATTTAGCTTCCTGCAGGAGGGTTCTTCAACTTATATTTGTTCATATAAAAATGCTCATTATATCATATTTTAAAACACCATGAAATTCCTGATTCTTTTTTTTTTTTTTTTTTTTTTGGTGCCAGGGATTGAACCCAGAGACAATTAACCACTGAGTCACATCCCCTGCGCCCTTTTTTGTATTTTATTCAGAGACAGGGTCTTGCTGAGTTGTTCAGGGCCTCACTAAGTTGCCAAGGCTGGCTTTGAACTTAAGATCCTCCTGGGATCCACTGGGATCCCATCACTTTGCCTGGCAAATTCCTGATTCTTTTTAGACGTATCTACGAACCATTTCTCTCTGGTTGTCAAAATTCCAGCATCTTCAATGCTTTTCTTTTCCAAAGCAACTTACTCTGTCACCCTAATAAAATACTTCGTAAAAACCTGACAGAAAAATCACCCTTAGCATCCTATCAAGTTTAAGTTGCTAAATATAAAATTCTTCTCAAAGGAATAAGTAGAGGACATCCACGGTAATGTATACCCAGTACTCATGTACACATGAGTCACCCAGATGATGTTTTCGTGACATGAACTTGTGTGAGCCCAAGAAATTAGGGCTGCAGCTCTTAAGAATGATCTATTATAGTAATCACTGCATACCCAAATAGAGAAAGCACCCAGTGAACAATCACTGAGAAGCAGAGCTCAATGAATTATGCACAAATTGCAGATTATTTTAAAGGCTGGAAGCCTACTGATTACTCCCCTGGAACGAGGTCAGAATTAGAGAAGACAAATTACTTGCATTACTTTGAGGCAGATTGTTGTCTATGTCTTCTGAAAAGTCAGTCTGAGTTGCAGAAGTGATAGTGTGCCTTGGAGTGGCAGCAGCATTATTATTATTTGTAGTGTTAACTTGAACTTGGTTGATTTCTTTTATGACTTGTTCATAAGAAGGCGGGAGCTACAAAACAAAGAAGGAAAATTTTAGATATCTCTGGGTGACAGCCAAGGTGTTGTGACAGTGGCAACATTTTTAATCTTTGAATTTCATTTTAAAAATAAAATGTAAAGAGGCAGTGGGATGTTTATTTACCTCAGCAGAAACCAGCTCATTTGGCCTCCACGGGCCGGGGGCAGGAGTTGGAGGAAATCCCAGTCCTGGAGGTGGGGCTCCTGGAAACCAGGAGGCTGGCCTCAGAGGCTCAGCTGCCACAATGGTGATCTCTGGGCGCCTGCAGGAAAGAAGTCTCAGTGAGGTTCTGCAGGCTGGTAATAAGCTATTGTTGTTTATTTGTAAATGTTCAAAGGTTAGCAAAAACAACCAAGACCCCCAAAAGCGGTTTAAGAACTGGCCTGGACTGTCTCTAACAGCACACCCAGACGGGCTTTAGGGGAGCAAATGGCAGACATCCTCTGACTCTGGCCTCAAAGAGTTAGAGATGAACCTGTAGCATTACCTTGGCTGATAAGGACAAGAACCAACCATAAGGCCCATTCCGTCTCTTCCCTCCCAGGCTCTGCTGCTGTGCAGACTGCAGCACGAGCATATGGAGCCTGGGAGAAAAACACCCTGGTCACTGGTATTGCTTGGTTTCTGCCAATTTAAACCGAGTGTTCTGAAATGAAAATCACCATCTACAGAGAATACCCTCATCCTCCTCACTCCATCTGTATACCACCCAGTTCACAGCTCTCCATAAGTGGCTTCAGTTCACTGGACCCTGAGAAGTGTCAGCACTCTATTATGATTTGATGATTAATCTGTAATACTGGGGAGGCATAGTGATTTAGGCCTAGCTTCTCCCCCCCTTTTTTTGGTACTGGGGATTAAACTCAGGAGCACTTGACCACTGAGCCACATCCCCAGCCCTGTTTTGTATTTTATTTAGAGACAGGGGCTCACTGAGTTGCTTTAGCGTCTTGCTTTTTTTGCTGAGGTTGGCTTTGAACTCACGATCCTCCTGCCTCAGCCTCCCAAACCACTGGAATTACAGGCATGCACCACAGCACCCAGTTTAGCTTCTCCTTTTCTTAATCTGATGCTACTTTTTTAATGTTGGAATTTTATCTTCAATCTGACTTCCTAACAAAACTAATTATGTGATCTTGGGAAAATCAATCCATTTTTCTGAGCCTCAGAGTTTTCTCAGGGATGATAATAACTGCTCTGCCTTTCTGTGGCACTCTTTGGAAAATAAAAATAAAAGAGCACTGTTGTTATCAAAACGGTGCCCAGAGGAACATTCTCATGCTAGCCAGGGAAGTAGTAGAACCTTATCACTGATTAAACTTTAACTGCATCCCTGAGAACATCTGCTTATAGTTTTTATCTAACTATATAGCAAGAGTTACTAATAATCTATTTTAAGCAGTATGTGTACATGAATCCTTAGGACAACCTGAGATATAGGTGTGATCAGCACCATTTTAAAGATGGGGATAGAGACGCTAAGGAGGTGAAGCAGCTTGTCGATGTCCATGGTGGGATTTGAACTTGGTTCTGCCTGGTTCTAAAGTCCTTGTTTTTCATTACTCTTCACTGTACTGTAAGAATTTTGAAAGCAGGAATCATGACTTACAAAACCCTTTTTATCCATTTATTCTCCTGTCCACCCTTCTATCCTTCTATCCATTATTTCATTTATCTAACTATTCTCTGCCAATTTTCCTTTCCTTTTTCCAAACACTCACTCACCCACCGTTTATCCATCCAGTTGTCTATTTAGCGCATCTGCCTCTTTCCTTTTTTTTTCTTTAATATATTTTTTTTAATTGTAGATGTGTACAATGACTTTATTTTATTTATTTATTTTTATGTGATGCTGAGGATTGAACCCAGTGCCTCACGTGTACCAGGCGAGCGTTCTACCACTGAGCCACAACCCCAGCACTTTTTTTATTTTGAGATAGGGCCTTGCCAAGTACCTGAGGCTGGCCTCAAACTTATGACCCCCCACCTCATCCTCCCTAGTCACTGTGATTACAGGCATGAACCACCCCACATGGCCTCTTTCCTTTTCTTTATCTTTCTATCAATTTTCTATCTTATCATCCATTCATTTATCTAGGCAACATTAAGTAAGTACCTATCAGATGCAAAGCATTTCTTTGAAGCACTTACACCAATGCTTTACATGTAGTAGTTGTTTAATAAACACTTTAAAATCAAGTTCAGCAAATAACTACTGTCAAAAAAAACATTTTCAGGCCTATATCACTTCTTCTCTCAAGTAAAAGCATCACTCAAACTTATAGATTAATTCAGGAAATGTACCGATGAGGCAGAGCATAGTATTCCTTTACTTATGAAAGAAATTATTTAATTTGCCAACTGATGACCTACTTTTATTTCCATTATTACCAGAATATATGCCCTCTATTATAAATAGAATCGTACCTCCTATCTCGATGAAGTTCACTCTGAATAGAAGTCCGAGAAGCTACAGAAGAAAGAATAAACTGGTATAGTAAAAAATCAGCATATTCAATAAAGATTCAATTTTTATAGAGTGCACAGTTAGAAAAAATTAGCTTATACTGGACATCATATAAACTGTATGAATTTTAATATCTCTAAGTAGAAGAGTAAATCTTTTTATACAGCAAAACACTGATTACAATTATGTATTTGAGTTATATAAGAAAGTAGAGATTTCAAAAACTCTCCAAAGCACATTTTGTGGTTCTGAAAATAATTTAAAGAAAGCACAGAGAAAAGAAGATAGCTATTAAATACAAATTGCATGTCAGAGAATTGAGATGATGGCATGAAATAACAATGGAAGAAAACTTAAAAAAAATATCTAATTCATATGACTATAATTTTGTTATAATTGTTTATAACTATTTTGAAGAGTGTGGAAGTGGTCAGATTCTCAACTATTTTCTTACCCAGATTTTTGTAATCTCCCAGATTTTTGTAATTACCCTTTATTAATTATTTAAGAGATAATAATAAGTGGAAAAGGTGTTCAAATCATTATAAACATGTTTATGATACATATTGTTTATATGAAGCATTGACTTCCTCCTCAAGTCTCAAATTCAAAAGGTTCAATGGTTAAATTTTTCCCCAAATTTTATTTTACAAAAGCAAATTGAGTATTAATTAAACAACCTAAAAAAAGGTCCCATGTGGGGTGAATTTTTATGTAATGGAGACTATTATCTCTATTTTCTTTTTTTTTGGGGGGGGACGGGGTGTACCAGGGGTGAACCCAGGGGCACTCAACCACTGACCCACATCCCCAGCCCTTTTTACTTTTTATTTAGAGACAGAGTTTTTCCAAGTTGCTTAGGGCCTCACTAAGTTGCTGAGGCTGGCTTTGAACTGGCGATCTTCCTGCCTCAGCCTCCCAAGCCGCTGGGATTACAGGTGTGTGCCACTGCACCCAGCTCTTATCTCTATTTTCAAGGAACACATTCCTGAGATCCTTTTGGCAAAAAAAAAAAAAAAAAACCCAAATAAATAAAATAGAATAAAATCAAGTACTATACTGTAAGGATTTGTACACAAGGGGAATTTATGTCAGACATAAACTATTTGGACTGGTTGCTTTCAGTCTCTTTCCATGACTACTTTCTCAACGCTTCTGATTTGAAAAGATTAAAAGCACAGATCTTTCCTTCCTTTCTCCTATTAATTCACTCCTCTCTGAAAGAGGAGGCTGCGCAGACTGTGGTGGTAGGGAAGGAAATCTCGGCTGGGGTTGGCGCTGGGACAGCTGAACTGATGCTGGGATTGTCAAAACAAACCCCTGACACTGGAGACCCAAGCCCTTGGATCTTCTCTTGGAAGATTCCTTGAATTCTTGTCATGAGGAGGTTTGACTGTGACATTGCTATCAAGAGCTAAACCAAGCAGAGGCTCACTGTGTGTACTGGAATAAAAGGGGACAGACAGGGAGGAGCCGGCACAGTGCGTCTGATTGGGGAGAAGCTTTCATTAAGCTGAGGCCCACCCCAGAGTGCCACCGTCACATGGCTGCCACCACCACTCAAGCCGCAATCAACAGACATAGTGCGTAAGAGACTGCATGTCACAAACGTACCTCTTCCACGGGGCATTGTGCCGTGTACTATTCATGAGTACTAAGAGAAAAAAAGAGGGGTTACAGGAGAGGAAAGGGAGGAAAAAAAGAATGAGCCCCCTGCCCATGCGCAGGCTTCCCCGGCTCTGCACAAGGAGAAAAGAAAAGCTCAGGACCAGAGTTTCAGAGGGTGAAGAAATATGGCCCTGCAAAGATGTGTCTGTTCAGACCACCCCCACACAGAGCCAGTCAAAAAATGTGCCTGTAGTTTTCAACAAGGATACAAAAAAACCCACACATCTAAAAACCATTTTGCAAAATCAATTTGCTCCTTCAATAGAGACTGATTTTAAAGTATGAATAAAACTTAAAGGTAATTTAGTAGTCGAATTACATTCTTTTACATCAGTGGCTTTTAGCTGAATTCCTCCCCTTCACACCAGAGGTCGTTGGTAATGGTCCCCCAGCTCCTGGCAGCAGAGTGGCATTGCTCCTCTCGTGCCCAGATGTGCCCAGAAGGAGGAGGGGGGCTTCACAGTCACCTGAAGATGTCCTTTTCCACAGCCCTTGACAACTGCTACTTCCCCTCCCCTTTTCTGATACCCCCCCACACTCATCGTGAACAAAATCTCTCTTTTCTCCCTTGATCTTTATAAAACAACTGTCACTGTCAGAGTTGAACAAGTTTAATAGCTTGAAACACTTGAGGTTTTCAGGAAGATTTTCATGTGGTGTCTCCTGCTCTTCCTGCTAATTCCTCAACTATCCACTTACATGTGTCATTCTCATTTCCCCAGATCAGACAGATTTGATGTAATTGTCACCAGGAGAATTGCATTTGCCATCAACGCTCACATAGATCAACATGTCCCATTTAACTTCTCTGCCACAGGCTGCTGGTCTCTCCTGCCTTTGGGGCTAATGCCACAGAATAAAGGCAGTGTTTTCAGTTAAAGTGATCCAATGGCTCTACAGACTCATTCAGAAACTTTCCTAGTTCAAATGGTTAAATTCTACATGCTAAACACATTAGGCCATCTATGAAAGGGCTGAGATGTAGGTTTCTGATATTAGCACCAATAAAGAATCCTCTCAAGTTCCAGGGGGATCCTAAGTCTTGGAAGACCCTCAGAGATCATCCTCCTCAAACCATGGAGGTAGAGACTGAGTGAACACCCACCCCTCAGGGACAAGCCGAGGACCAGCTAGCTGGCTTCTTCCAAATTCAACATCAAGTGATCAGAAGAAATAAACATCCAGAAAGTTTGTTGTATTCTAAATGTCCTCACTAGAGGTGTAAATAATAATGAGGTGATTTTCTTATTAAACAGTTAATTACAATAGTATTAAAGGTGTAAATAATGATGACAATGATGTGATCCTCTCCTTATTAAACAGTAATTACAATAGCAGATGTTTTTATTTTCTCCTGATTCAGAACCTACTGAACAATAGGTGATGAATAAATGTTTACTAAATGGAAAAAAAAAAATCTGCGCTATCAGTGAAAGTCACCAGAGCTCACTGGCTGCATTTGTATGGGGCTGGGTGGCAGAGATGCCTGGGACTCAGTAACAAGAATATCCACGGAGGGGAAAGCCCGATGGCCCTGAAGTCCAGAGGTCTGCGGTCATATCCCAGCTCCACTTTATGAAGCTTGTTTACCTCTCAGGACCCAGTTTCCTCCATCAGTAAAATGGGGCTCACACGTGCCACCACTATCTTATAATGCATGTGAGACAGTTCTTCACTTGTGGTATGTAATCAATATTAGCTCCATCTGAATTTCAAGGAATAATCCTGAACTAACCCTGAATCTTCCTCTTAAAGAGCCAATGACAGAATATGAAATTCTCAACATCTCCTATTAGAACGAAAAGCTAGCAAACATATTTAGGGCTCGAAAGATGAACACAAAGAGAAGAACCACATGGCTTAATAGTAACCAGAATCATCATAGAAGAATTTGAAATACAATAATTTAAGGAATATTTATTTTAAAACATAATAGTCTGTCTCCTTAGGTGACTGAGTCTGGGATAGTATGGTACACATTTAAATGGGTTGGCTAAAATAAACATTACTTACAACTTTTTCTTTCATGATAGTTAAAAAAGGAAGAAAAAACAAGGTAACACAATTATCCCTTGGTCTCTGTTTAAGAGGATCTGTTTGGCCTTCCTGCCCAACATCAGGAATAAACACCATTAGGAATTTCTTCAGTGTTTACAAAGTGACTGAGATGCAAGAATCAAAAGACAACTGGGTTATAGTAATCCCACTCCTCAGAGTATACCCAAAGTATTAAAAATCAGTATACTACAGTGACATGGCCACATCAATGATTATAGCATCTCAGTTCCCAACAGCTAATCTATGGGCCTACCAGGTGCCCTTCAACAGATGAATGGATAAAGAACATGGGGTATATACACACAATGTAATATTACTCAGTCATAAAGAAGAATGAAATTATGGCATTTGCTGGTAAATGGATAAAAATGGTGACTATCATGCTAAGTGACATAGGCCAACCCCAAAAAAACCAAAGGCCAAATGTTGTCTCCAATATGTGGATGCTGACTCACAATAAGGTGTGTGTGTGTGTGGAGAGGGGGGAACGCGTTGAAAAGAAGTTCATTGGATTAGACAAAGGGGAAGGAAGGGAAGATGGGAATGGGAAAGACAGCAGAATGAACTAGACATCACTTTCCTATGTTCATATAGGAATACACGACCAGTGGAACTCCACATCATGTACAACCACAAGAATGGAAGTTATACTCCATGTATGTAGGATGTGTCAAAATACACGCTACTGTCATATATATCTAAAAAGAACAAATTAAGAGGCTGGGGTTGTGGCTCAGTGGTAGAGCACTTGCCTGGCATGCATGAGGCTCTGGGTTCAATTCTTAGCACCACATACAAATAAATAAAATAAAGGCCCATCAACAACTAAAAAAATATTAAAAAAAAAAGAACAATTTTTTTTAAAAAAGGCAACACAACCCACCAGCTAGGGAAAGCCAGAGTCTTCCCTTGGCCCCCCTCCTTCCTCCCCTGCTGCTTTACCAATTTCCTCTTCTCTCTTGCTCCGGGCTCCCTGCTCCCGGCTGCCTGGAATGTCTGCAAGTTTCCTCCCCCTCAATAGCTCTGCTGTTGCAAGGTAAGCAAGATCCATTCTGGAGGATCTATGGGAAGTCAAGGACAGATGTCCACCCCTGACAAAGTCCTGGAGTGCAAGGAGAGGTAAGGTAAGAAGTCGGGAAGGACATCAGGAGCCGCAGAGGGGACAGAGGACCTCTTCAACAACAGAAGGCCTTGGTTTACTGGGTTACGTGTCTTTTGCCTCATGGTCTCTAGAAGACACAGTGTGACCTCAGAATCACAAGATTCTAGAATCACAAAGATTCTACTCCTTGTCATCTCTATCCTATGAACTTTTCCTTTAGTGCTTTGCCACCTCCAGGAATTTGCCTGTCATCTCACTACCCCAAATTGTATCTCCAGCCAAGAAACACTTGCCAAATTCGTGGCTTTAATTTCCTATTTAAATTCTCTTCCTGTCCCCCTCCATACTACCTTAAGAATGCCAAGACATTTAAATCTATCATGAATATGTCATTTTAATGTCCCAATCCCTTTCATCATACATGGTGGCATGCCCTCATCTTTATCGTTAGCCAACAAAGAAATGAATGGGGTGGAGGACTTGGGATACTTTTCTGTATTGCCACCTTACAACATTTTCACTGGAATGGTTCAAATGCATGTTCTTCATGACCTTGTGGATATCTTAACTTCAAAGTGAAGATCAAAAATTCTGTTTCCAGGCACAGCGGTGCACGCCTGTGATCCCAGCAACTCAAGAGGCAGAGGTAGGAGGATTGCAAATTTCAGGCCAGCCTCAGTAACTTAGCAAGACCCTGTCTCAAAATCAAAAAGTAAAAGGGGTATGAATGTAGTTCAATGGTAGAGCACTCCTGGGTTCAATCTCTAGCACCAAAAACAAAACAAAACAAACAAAAAACCCCAAAAAACAAAAACAAAACAAAACAAACAAACAAACAAAAAAACAGGGTGGAGGAAATGGGAATAGAACATCCCTGGGTTCAATCTCCAGTACTACAAAAAATTTAAAAAACTGTATTTCCAAAAACAGGTTCTATTCTCCTCCGCATGGAAATTTTAGCTTGAATAATGAACATATCTAAAATCCCATCTTCATTCTTTTCTATAACTGGTAACCCACGTTCTATTTGGAAAAGGGGTTTTCCAGAGCACTTTATTTAAAAAAGAGTCTTAAAATCCTGTACCAAAGGCAAATTTTAAAGTTTTAACCAAGAGGCAAAAATCATACCAATGTGTCATTCTGGAGGGAATTCTACTCACAGTAATTCTTATACATAAAAGTGTGTGCCCACTTTCACATTTACACAGTGTAAAAATGATACTGTACAGACCACCTGTAAAAGCAAATGAATCATAAAGGACGGGGCTTAATAGTTTTTGTTGTTGTTTGTTTGTTGTTTGGGGGGTACCAGGGATTGAACTCAGGGGCCCTTGACCACTGAGCCACATCCCCAGCCCTATTTTGTATTTTATTTAGAGATAGGGTCTCACTGAGTTGCTTAGTGCCTCGCTTTTGCTGAGGCTGGCTTTGAACTCGAGATCCTCCTGCCTCAGCCTTCTGAGCTGCTGGGTTTACAGGCAAGTGCCACCGTGCCTGGATGGCTTAATAGTTTTTCAGCCCATCAGATGTCTTAACGATAGGAAATGGTTATATAAAATGATATCAGATCACAGACATTGACAACTACATAGCCATATTTAAACAGCTTCATTCTATAAGAGAAAGGTATTGTTTTGAGGAACTGGCTTATCAGTAAAGCTGAAAAACTACCTGTTTCAACTGTTTTATTAATTTCTTTTTTAATATGTATTTTTTTTTTTAGTTGTAGATGGACACAATACCTTTTATTTTATTTTTATGTGGTACTGAGGATTGAACCCAGTGCCTCACCCATGCCAGGCAAGCGCTCTACCACTGAGCTACAGCCCCAGCCCCCTGTTTAATTAATTTCTTAAGAGAAACTACTCTTGTTGGGTTCTTTGTAGATTCATCAAATATAATCACTTGCAGGAAATCTAAATCATCATTTAAAATTATAACAGAGGGAAATACAGAGTAGGAAAAAGCAAACTTACATCTCTTGATTACGGCTCTAATGGATGACAAGGGTCCTTGGCTAGAAAAAGAAAGAAAGAAAACGTGTTACACAGCTGCCATTCTTTTGAAGAGTTTTTCAGAATGCTGAATCATTCTGGGACTCACATGGTGCCAAGCAGCAAGTTAGATACAATAGTCACTGGCCTATCATCTTCTCAAAACAGAAACTAAAGATAAATTTTAAATTGCCTTTTATATTTAAGCTGATGTGTAGAAAGTGAGGGGCCTCATGAAGTACATCTTCTGGGAAAACAGATTTTGCCTTAAAATTGCTTTCATAAGCACCTATGCACTACTGCACCAGCCAGTGACAATGTGGACATTACATGGTGCTACAAAGAGCTTTCCTGCTCTCAGCTCTTCTGGGTCAGACACTGGATTTTTTTGTTTTTGTTTTTTATTTTTGTTACTTGTTGTCTTTATTCAAACCAGATGGACTAACTGCTTTTAGAACCATTTAGAAAAAATATACAACTCTGAAAGTTTAATGGTGTGCATGGTGTAAGAGACTGGGGGTTTCTTGTTTATAAAATTCTTCATTCTTTTCAGAATGTTTTTTAAAAAACTAATACTTATTTAAAAATTCATACCCTTTTAAAATTTATGCTTGTGGTAATCTGTTTCTTACATAGATAAAACTTTAGGAAAACAACACAACATATTGGTTCATTTTAAAGGAGGAACACTTTGAAGAATGTACTAGCTATGATTTGAACGTCTCCCCCCAAAAGCATATTTTGGACTCTTAATCCCCAGTGAAACAGTACTGGGAGGCGGGGCCTAATGAGAGGAGGTTAGACCATGAGGGGACCGCCCTCCAGGGGACATGGAGGCTGTTATCACAGGAGACCCACACAGGAGGTGGGCTGGGAGGGTGCTCACACACTCTCTTTTTCTCTTGGTTTCTGACAATAAACAAGCCCTCACCAGATGTCAGCCTTTGTTCAATTTTGGACTTCCCGGTCTCCTGAACAACAAGCCTTCTCTTCATTATAAAATTACTTAGTCTTTGATATTCTGTTACAGCAGCACAAAATGGATTAAAAACTATTCTGCAAAAAAAGGAGAAAAAAAAAAAAAGGCTCCAGGAGGCCTCTAATACCATGAAGCTAGACTATAATATAAAGATGCAACTGCTTTCAGCAATACTGATTTTTTTAAAAAGAAGCTTTTTATAAAACCACTTTAAAAAGAACTAAAATAAGGTAATGTAGAAGAAGTAACAGGCCTATAAAGTAAGCAGCTTGAGAGAGGCTGGAAGCACAGACTTCCTGGTGCAACAGTGGAGAGAATCTATACATTGACCCTGAGTCCCCTGGCTCAGCTCTGGTGCACAGAAGCCAAACCTTGAAAAGCCAGCACTTCAAATGTACACGCCCAGGCAGGGTACAGGAGCTGCCACTGAGTATATCTTAATCTTTCGCACTAACACTGTCACGGGGGAATATTAAACAAACAAACAAAAAGCCCTTGTTACTTCTGTCGCAGAGGAAGGTTTATTGATTGGGGTGGAACCTTGCAGGTGTTAGGAGATGAAGTGTTTTCCTCCAAAAATATCAGGTGAAGTCTTCACCCGCAGTGCCTCAGGATGTGAGTTATTTGGAAAGAGGGTTGTTATGGATATAATTTGTTGAGATAAAGTCATACTGGGACAGGATGGGCCACATCCAACCTGCCTGGTTCTTCAGAAGACAGCCTTGCAAAGGCAAGAATACACAGGACCCAGAGATGACCAAGGCAGAGACTGCAGTGATGTCACTGTGATCCAGCCCACGTCAAACACCACCAGCAAACCACAGAGGCTGAGAAGAGGCCAGGAAGGACTTGCCTATGACTTCAGAGGGAGCGTGGCCCTTGCCAACACCATTATTCCAGACCTCCAGCCTCCAAGACAGTGAGACAATACATTTCTGTTAAGTCATCTGTCTGGGGTACTTTGTTACTGAAGCCCTTAAAACCTAAAGGAACAGACAAGCACCCCAATCCCAAAATCCAATACCCCAAACTTTTGAGCACTGACATGACCCTCTGAAAGACTTTGGAGTATTTTAGATTTGGGATTTTCAGAAGAAGGATGGTCTGGAGGTAAAGTCTAGGCAGATATTCCCAAATCCCATACACTTCTGGTCCCAGTGTTTTAGAAAAGGCTCACTCCACCTATACAGGGGGCTTTCTGGAGTGCTGAGTAGACATAGTAGTGCTGAGTTGCATGCTGTGGATTTTTTCAGTATGTCATATTTCAATAAAAAGTGGGGGGGGGGGACGGGTGGGAAAGCTTGGCCCAAACCAGGATTTTAGCTGAGATCAGCTGAGGTTCTTCAAATCTCAAGATTTACACCATCACGTTTGGGCTGAAGTGTAAACAAGTCAATCAATATCTTGTCTAGAACAGAATTTTCCAAGCTCTAAAGCTCTCCTTTAGAAGTTAACAGGGTTTTGTGGTGGGAAAATAAATGGTGACCTGTGGTCAATACTTCTCTGTGGGAGGCAGTTCTGGAAGACAAGGGAGCTGCCAGCACTGTGGTGCACACACTTTCCCCAAGGCAAATGCAGTTACTGATGCAAAGACCCAGGCTCTGAAGATAGTCCTTTACCTCTGTCATGCTGAGGAGCAAAGGCCACAGGTGAATGCTCCACCCCAAGTCTGCAGAAATCCTTCAGCACATCAGGGTCAGCTGGGAGCCTTCAAGAAGGGAGCACTAGAATCCACTAGCCCAGACTCATTCCCAGTGCCTCCCCTTGCTAGCTGGTGGCCCTGGGCAAATCACTCAGCTTCTCTAAGGCCTCTCATTTCCTCATGCATAAAAGCAAGGGAAACGTAGCACTCCCTCATGGGTCTATTGTAAAAAGTCAGGAGAATCTGTTAAAGCATTTTACAAAGGGACAAAGCGTATTCAATAAATCTGAGTTGCTATTATCATTACTCATGTTTGTTCAAAATCTTTAGGGGAATCTAAGACATTTGACAACACACACACAATCTTTGACAGGCTCCCCACTTTGGGGTCTACTATCATTCAGACAGCAGGCCTAACAATTTGGTTTATGTTCTGAAAAGAAAAAATTTTGAGGGAGGCGATTTACTTTACTCCCCTGAAATGATTTAAAACCTTTACTCATTCTGAACTGAGCAGCAGCTTTTGTCCTGGTTCTTGCAGTGACTCCAGACCTTCTGCCTTCTGCTCTTTAAACTTAGCTCCCCTAACATCAGGCCCCCTTGTTCTTGGTGGGGCAGATAAAACCACTCCTGAAATGTGACCGTCAAAGATCCTTCCAAGAGAAAAGTGAAGGGTCAGGGGAAAGGGCTTTCAGATCCTAGGGGACCAAAACTTGGGATCAAGGCAGAACTGCCTCAGGTCTGATCCTGATGCTATATCTTCCCCAGGGCTCCCTGATTGTTCAGAGTCCCCTGTGTCCTTTCTATCCCATGCCTCAGAGAAGGTTCAGCTGTTCCCTCTCTACCCATGCATTTACATATTACTTCAGCTGTTTCACCCCATAACAAATGCTAGATTAAAGCAATGGATTATATAATGGAAAGAAAAAAGTCTTAGTAATTTATGTTTGCCACAGAGACAAATATGGAGGGATTTGCCATTTTAATAGTGTCTAAATTAATATTACCACAATATATAGGACCAGATGTGATAAGCTGTGAAGAATGGAAAGATGTAAAGTGTAGTTAATTGAAATGAGAGAAAACAAAATACCTCATAGTTGTAAAATTCCACTCCATGGTTTAAGAGAGAATAACGATGTGTAAAGAAAATAATTTAGATCTAATTGGCGCGGAGTTGCCAGGGCTTGAACCCTGGGACTTACACACTCTAAGCTCACGCTCTCCCACTGAGCTACACCCCCAGCCCCATGGAATCTCTTGTGCTAAAGTTAAAAACTATAACAAAACTACATAGAATTTTTCATTAATTTTCGGAAAACCTCAGGGGAATGCTACATTAGTTCTAAGTTCATTCACCTTTCCTTTAACATTGAAGGTCCAATAATACGGGGCTGGGATTGTGGCTCAGTGGTAGAACGCTCGCCTGGCACGTGCAAGGCCCTGGGTTGGATCCTCAGCACCACATAAAATAAATAAATAAAATAAAGATAAAAAAAATATCAATAATACAGGGCTGGTCAGTAGCTCAGTGTTAGAGTGCTTGCCTAGCACATGTGAGGCACTGGGTTTGATCCTCAGCACCACATAAAAATAAACAAATAAAATAAAGGTATTGTGTCCACCTACAACTACAAAAAATTTTTTTTAAAAATACAATATCGGGGGCTGGGGATGTGGCTCAAGTGGTAGCGCGCTCGCCTGCCATGCGTGCGGCCCGGGTTCGATCCTCAGCACCACATACCAACAAAGATGTTGTGTCCACCAAAGATTTAAAATAAATAAATAAATAAATATTTAAAAAAAAAAAAAATAAAAATACAATATCAAGTTTCATCTGGTGCTATTAATCTATTTATCTAATTTTGTAGTAATTGAAATTAAACTCAAGGGTATATTACTACTGAGCTACATCTTCAGACCTTTTTGTTTTTCTTTATTTTGAGATAGGGTCTTCCTAAATTGGTGAGACTGGCCTCCAAATTGGGATCCTCCTGTCTCAGCTTTCCAAGTATTATAGACGGGATCATAGATGTGCATCACCCAGCTCATCAGGAACTTTTCTAATTCATCTTTTTCAAGGACAAGAAAATCATAAAAGCAACTAATGTTTATATATTTCATTACAGGACAAATAAAGCTAATAAATATTGAAATAAGTTACATTAACACAATATACACTTAAAAATCCACAAAATGAATTCTACCAATAGTTATATCTGTAAACAAGGAGGGTGGGGAGAGAAAAAAACCAGTGGGAGGTGTGAAGTGCCTACTGGAGCCCATGACCATAGTGAGAGGGATACAAAATCTGCAAACAGCTAGAGCCCTATTTTCCTCCTGTGTGACCTGGTCAGTCCAATCACTTGTTGGAATTGTCCCTTTATCTGTGATATGAGAAT